ACTTCATATTCTAGGGTTGTGAAGTATTCGCCAGGAGCTTTAAAATGATGTGTCACAAGACCCCCTTTCCATTTAATTTTTTTCCCAGATGGCGCCCAGTCGCCATCTTGAAAGTTTCATCTGTCAATTTCACTTCAAAGTAAAATATTCATGCATTAATTTCATTATCCCAAATTTCAATTTTTTGAGTTGACCAGTTCAAAAAATAAAAAGTGGGAGGGACATTAAAGAAATGCACTGTATATAGGTATTGTTCCTATTAGGTTCATAATGAATGAAATATTTAAAATAGAATGTGGGACCATTTTTTTACTTTATGCCCATGCTTACTTATAAGGTTAACTCTAATTCCATAAACTATCACACTAAAAAAATCAGAACTGCTACTGAAAAAAATGGGTACACAAATAGCAACAAAAACCATTAATTACAATTAGATTTAATAATTTATATAAACAAAACTTACAAATATTTACAAAGAAAGAAAATGCTCTTTTTTTAACCTTAAGTAATATTTTACATTTTTGTACCTATTCAACAGGACATAGGTGAAAGCAAAATTTGATACATCACCCTGAAAATGAGATAATTTCCGACTAACAATAAGAAAAAATCCAGTATACTATTTTATTTACAACTTATAATTATGCCCCAGAAAAATAAAAGCAACAAAATGAAAATAGTATACTCAAGTCTCCGTATTTATTCAAAATTGGGTTTTACATCTGTTTCAGTCTGAGAAAATCAACATTTTAATAATGAAAGATATTCTGACTGTAAATAATCCAAGTGAGCAGGGGAATTTTAATGAGTGCAAAATAAATCGTTATATCAAAATATGTCACAAAAAAATTGGATAGAGGTTATATTGAAACAGAAAAATAAGAAAGTTATACTTTGAATTTGAGCAAAATCATCACCAATATGAAATAATCGAATTTATGATTTTTAAAGATAGACCATGTGTGTTTGTTTTGACATTTTTAATGGTAGGTACTTTCAACCATAGGTATTAAGATGAAATTTCTCATGACACTATAAACCCACTTTTTTCCCTATGATACACTATCGCTGTTAATGATAAGCTTTCATTACTTATATTGTGAACAATTCTAGTTAATTTATGAACAAAACAAATATTGTTCTAATGTTATACTCTATTGATGTTCGAAAAAAACCTCTGTAATTTTTAATCAGTTTCTAAAACGTGATGTACTTTCACTCCAATGTATAAAACATAACTGATCAGATCTAAATTTCAGTGTAAACAGTATCAGAACAGTGAAATTGATTAAACATCTAAACTTGAGCATGACAAAAAAAAATGACAAATAAAAAAAATTGACAGATTTATACAGAAGTTTTTTATTACCCTACAATTTCGGAGCACAAAACCTGAATGAACAACTCAAAAAAATGAACTGTGTTCAAAAAGATTGTTTTGTGGAAAACCCACTAGAATTTGAAGTAAAGGACAGTGTGGTATTCGCTATTCAGAGAAGTCAAAATTTAATGGCAGCCGACATCCATTTCCGGACCTGGTTATTTATTGACAAAAAAATATTATTTGAATATTCTCAACGATGGAGAAGTAGAAAGCCAAAAATCTTTCACTCCTAAAATGATGCTACTCTCAATTTAGTATGGATAAATATGACAAACCTCATAAAATATATAACTACAATTAAAAAAATATTGAGACATGAAAAGGTTCAAAGCGCTATAGTTCAATGAGATTATTAATGAATTTATTAGTGTACATATTACAAATGCAATTCTAGTACTCATAACATTATTGAACCATATAAGTATAACCATAGCAATGAATTCAATAATTATAATGTTCAAGATCATCAAAGTTTGTTTTATAGATAATCATCTGAAGAAAATTTCCACTGAAATAAAATTGTCACCTTGCTCCATACAGATCCTAATTATGTTCTCATGAAAATAAAACCATTATATAAGAACAAAATAGAAACTCTCGACCAGATTATGCCCATTGAAGGGATACTATTCAGAGTAATAAATTTTCTAAATCTGAAATATCAGAAATTCAAGGAAAAACTCTTTGTTTAAGCTATTAAAAATATCATCTATTGTATTTTTAAACTTAACTAAGATGAAACCACAATAAAAATTCCCAAAATTTATTTGATTCACAAATTGAAATGATGTACTTTTCCAAAAATGTACTTTCACTTATTCCATGAAAAATAATAAACAATCTAGTTTAACTTAAGATTCATAATTTTCTTACCTAACTTAGTACTTTTTGAAAGTGAATAATATTAATATATTTCAATTGATATGACACCAATTTCGTTTTAGTAACTTTCTGCACATGTATTACCCTGCTCACTTTTCCATTTTTTAAATACTCAATGCCAAAAACTACAAACTTTATAGGACCTATTTTGAAACTGCAAAAATTAATCATTCGATAGAAACTCCCTTTCCAAAGCAGCTCCCATCATATTCCATAGTCCATCATCCACTTCATCTTGAGGCTCTATGCTATCTTGTGTATCCTCCTGTTCAAAATCCAACACATCATCGACATTCTCGCCCCTTCTGAACTTCTGACTTGGAAATTCTTCATCCTCACTGCTGTTATATTCTTCCAAAATGCTTTTCTCCTTTTCTTCTTCTTCTTCTTCTTCTCTTTTCCGTTTGTAACCTTTCGGATATTCTCCTGTAAGAGACTCCTCGCTACTACTACTACTGCTGCTTCTTTTTCTGGTATCTTCTGCTGTTTCCTCAAAATCAGCTATTTCATCCTTTTCTATATGGTCATCCTCACTGCTGTCACTATCATTATCTAGAATATCTTTCACCTAAAAAATGTTAGTATCAGTAATAAAGAGGAAAATACAATGGGCATATCAATTAGGGGCAGTTATTGAGAAGAATAGACATTCCTCCTCTCTCTTGGCATTTGAATGCTCCACAAACTAAATAAAAAATCCTAGAAAATCAAAATCAAAACTCCCCTAATATTACTAGGTTACATAGAGCAGAAAGTAATGAAGTTTATAATGCTAAGTATTACCATTTATAACACAAGTATTACCATTTGGAACAAAAGGTCAAAAGGAGTGAGGTTTGAATTGTTCCTAAAAAAAAGAAAATTGAACATTTTTTGGAAAAGCAATATATTTGCATTTACCTATTCCATTATATAATCAAAAGAGCTATGATGAACTATTCAAAAGTTTGAGTAAAAGCAAACACTTACTCAAATTTTTTAATTTTCATTCTGTTTTACTACCCATTCAGTTCAGATTTCAGCTGTAAGATGTCAATATTTCAAGTTCTTCAAACAGTTACTTGTGTGGTCCGAAAATGAAATAAAATTACAGAGCATGAATATTGTACCACTTTGATTTCAATAAAACTGATTATTTTAGAATATTTATCATATTTATATTTGTGGATGGTTCTTTTATTAACTTTATTTATTATATAATATTTTTAGAGCTGTAATATTTTCACTGCTTAATAAGAGTTGAAAATTAGGGAAAAGATAGCTGAATAGTCTGATATAATAATTCTGTCAAAAAGTGATTCACTCAGGCGTGTTGCCAAATGTGAAAATGATTTGTATCAGTTTCATTAACACGGCACAGTCTTAGGTCCGAAAATGTTGAATACTCAACTAGATAGTCATGATCGTAGCTTCTCTGGTGCATTAGTTTGTACTTTATTTATTATAAAATTCACGTCATAAAGTATATTTTGAAAACATATCTTTGGAAAATAACTGTTGCAATACCAATAATAAACTGGTTAAGGATTTCGAGGCCGATATTTTCAGTGTTACAATTTTCATTTGGGTTTGAAGGGTGCCATAGTTTGGAACTGCATCCAAACGTTTCGCCAGCACGAGTGACTGGCTTCTTCAGAGGTTTATCCATCTTGATGATTCACCAATGAGAGTCACCCGTGCTGGTGAAACGTTAGGATGCAGTTCCAAACTATGACGGCATTCAAACCCGAATGAAAATAGTAACACTAGAAATAATAAACTATTATATCATTGAGAATATTTGAAGAGAAAATAATTTGTTTGACAAAACATGATAAAAAAAAATGAATTACTAAACTGAATCAACATACCTCTTTATCCATATCGGCAATATCGGCACGGGAAAAAGACATCAGTGGATTGATGGTATCCATGAACCTCCCACTAGGTGACCGTTTTCTTACAGCAGGAGCCTCATGCTCTTGATAACTAGCAAAATCTCTCGGGCTTGTACAGTGAGGGGGAGGATGCCGGTTTTTTGATCCTTTCTTACTTAGTGGAAATATTCTCTCATCAACGTGTTCCCACCTTTCTGCACAACACCAAAGCCAATCTGGCGTTACGATTTTCAAATGTTTCTTCCTTCTGCCTGTGTTGACTTTTGCAGTTCCCGGTCTAACTGCCACAAGATGAGTTGTGTTTTCATTGATATCAGTCGTAACTACTGCCCCAAGGCTTCTTGCAACTTGGTAGGCCTTTGACTGTTCTAATTTTATATGTGTTGGTACTAAACCACTGAATACTAGATGGCAGCCTCTCAGGACATTACTTCGAACTCTGGGAATTACAGTTTTCATGTCCGGAACTTCGCCAGATTCTAACATATCAAATTCGTTGTAGAATTGTTGGTGTATTCTTTTCAGCACTTCCTCCAAGTAAATCAAGTAGTCATCCGGGTCTTCGATTTCTATCATGTTTTTGGAATCGTCTTCTTTTGTTATTGATCCATCTGGTTTGGATTCATTATGTTCTTCTGCAGTTTCTTTACTGTCTGTTGGAATAATACTATTAGTGACTTGCTCTTCTGACTTCTTATTATTTTCTGTCAAGAGTTTATTTACCACACCATTTCCACTAAGTTTCTCCTCTATCTTAATATTTTCTAAGGTGGGTTCACTGGTTGAATCATTTTCAGGTTTTTCTTCTAAATTATTCTGAATTTCTGAAAAAGCATCAGACGCAATGTAACCAGGTTTTTCAGTTTCATCATCTTTATTTTCTGAAATGGGTTTGTTCAATTTTTCTTCTATTTGTTCATCAATCTCTGTTACAGATTTACATGGATTGATATCGCTAGGTTTTTCATTTTCATTATTTTTACTCTCTGAAGCGAGTTCTCCTCCTTTTTCTATTGAGGAATCGATTATTCCATTGTTGCTGGGTTTTTCCTTTGTGTTTGAAAGGGTTTCACTTGTCAATGTACTATTTGTATCCTTATCACTAGACTGACCCTTTTCACTTTCTTCATTTTCTGTTGGTTCACTTTGAATGTCACCATCAGAAAATTTGTCTATAATTTCATTCATAGATTTATTACCATTTACTGACACTTCCACAGTTAACAGTTTCTCGCTGTCACTAGTTACACTTTTCATATTTTCATCCTTTTGTTGTATGGTTTCCTGAAACAGTTGATTCTCTGGAACAATATTCATTCCATTTTGACCATCAATTTTTGAACCAATTTTTGCTCTGTCACTGTCCTAAAACAATGAAATATATTCAATACATATTGAATACTAAAGACTGAAATTTTTCATCTTTCAAGATGTATTTGTTACCAAACTGGTTATTATGTTAATAACCAAACCCATTTTTCTGATACGTGTTTGATGTCAAAAACATTTATGTACTAAATGAATGTATGCAATAGTCAAGAAAATAAACATTTGTCAAGAAAGTAGACAGACTCTTCCTGAATAATACTGGAGTTTTATACCAACACTAAACCATTATTTTAACACCTCTGCACGTGTTTCGATCACCAAGTGATCATCTTCAAGAGGAAGGTTAAACTGGTGTTTAACCTTCCTCGCCTTAGTGCAGATACTGCAGGTAAATTTTCCTGTATTTGAGGTTACATCAGGTAATATCCTTTGTGTTGAATTTTCTCTAGGTTCACTGTTTCTAGGAATGTGTATTGTATTGTGTAGTATATTGAATGTTAGGTCTTGTTGTGTTTTGATTTGTATTTGTGCCTCGGCGTTCTAACCGCATAAAAGAACAAACAAGAAGATAAAACGTTCAGTTAGAGTGGAGCCAAGAAGATGATAGCACATCCAGCTGTCGAAAGCGCTCACATAAAAGAACAAACAAGAAGATAAAACGTTCAGTTAGAGTAGAGCCAAGAAGATAATGCACATCCAGCTGTCGAAAGCGCTCGCATATAATAAATAGAAGTTATAAAGATGTATTTTTTCATTTGTATAAAACGTTTCAACATTTAACTACATTTTTTATCAGAGGTTTACCATATGAAAAACTGATATTTTACAAATTATACCAAGTAGTCGTAACAACAGTCAAGAAAAATTATTGGCAAACCGCGGACACGTGTTTCTGGCTATGCGCAGTGTAATGGAGTCAATAAATACATAGATAATATATGAAATTCTCATGTCACAGTGTTAGTTGCCACACTCCTCTGAAACGGCTTGACCGATTTTCATGAAATTTTATATGTATATTTGGTAGATCTGAGAATAGGTTTCAGTCAGTTTTTCACTTCCCTGAATGATAAGCACGACTCCAAACATTTTAAATTTTTTTTTTTATGATGTGGCATTGAAAAATACCTATAACCCTCAATTTTTACACTTCTATCACCAACCCCTATTTTTTCAGTAATTTAACATTGTTATTCCCGCCAGGCGTCTACCGGTGTCACATGTCATTCTGTAAACAGCACGGAGTTGGGAGACAACGAAGCCGATCTACTGTCTCTCTCACACAATAAGCCTTCTCTCACTCCTTACATAATTTTTGGACACTAATATTGTTTATCCATCGAGCGAAGATACAGCTTGCGTTGCCACCGAAGCTGTGAATTATACAACAGTGTTTTTGAACTAATTGGATTTGCCAGGCACGCTACCGCATAATTTATAACTGAAGGTTGGATCGCTACGTGATTTGAATCCACCACGGCTGTGCAACGGCACGCGATTAGTCATTCAAAAATCAATGAAAAATGTTATCAGCATTTTAAATGGCTTCCGAGATGAATCCTTATTATACCTGTAGATGTGCCAATTAATTTTAAACGAATGCAATTTCCAATTAGATTGGATTTTGCAATGACTATAGATAAGCCAAGATGATAGCACATCCAGCTGTCGAAAGCGCTCACATAAAAGAACAAACAAGAAGATAAAACGTTCAGTTAGAGTAGAGCCAAGAAGATAATAGCACAGCCAGCTATCGAAAGCGCTCGCATATAATAAATAGAAGTTATAAAGCTTCAAATATTTTTTGTGACATATGTTAATATTAAAATACTGAAAATAAAAGAAAATTAGTAGCATCATTCAAAATATAAATTTAGGATAATGAAATTAATGCATGAATACTTTATATTGAAGTGAAATTGACAGATGAAACCTGAGGAAAAAAAATTAAATTGTGACACATCATTTTGAAGCTCCTGACGAATAATTCACAACCCTAGAATATGAAGTCAAAATCTTCACCTACTACAAAATGGCGGAACTTTGTATAATTGCCTGAATACATTGACAATAATATGAGGTAATAAGCTTGAGATCAGTTCAGAAGATACTTGAAATGGTTGCCTTGAACTTTTTGAAATGAATTTCAATTTTTCGAGTTGACCCGTTCAAAAAATAAAAGGGGGGGACATTAAAGAAATGCACTGTATATATTTACAAATTTCTAGCCGAATCACTTTTTCGTTATGGTATTCTGATGTGGGGAGCAACTTGCAAAAATTGAACTTAATACAGAACTATATTCTGAAAATAATCTTGAAGAAAAAAAGATCATATCACACTAATCTTATATATTCAGAAGATCTTAGTAACATTCGAACAGTATACTTTCTTAGTTTATGTACGTATGCATACAAAAACAAAACATTTCATGATTATATTTTCACAGTTCATTTTACTAGAAGTACAACAAACGAATTGCTACCCACTCCAAAATTCAATAAAAATATTTGTCATCGCTTTTTAACTTACACAATACCTAAAATTTGTAATATTCTACCCCTAAGGATAAAACATATTCAAAATTATAAAACCTTCTCCGTAGAATCAAAAAAGTTCATCTTCGAAAATTACTTTGAATTTATCAAAATATTAGAACACCAATAAATTCACTGCCACTAAATTGTTTCCTAACTCTCTGTACACAACTGTAATTTTATATTAATTAGTATTACTGTGGCATAACACAAGTGTTAAGTCATTTTGATGCTATTTTATACAAAATATTTAATTGATGTACTGCAAATACGGTTTTTATACCTGTCTCTTTGTTAGTGTATTATTCTTATTTTCTCTATTTTTGTGTATCATTTAAATAAATAAAAAAATTAAAAATAAAATATACATGCAAATATTTGAAATAGAATATTTTAACACAAGAAAATAATAATTTCTCAGTATATATTACTGAGCAATTATTCTTTTCAACTTCATTTTCTAGAACTCACATTTTTCTTGAATTTCGTAAAATCCACACCACCATTTTCATCATTATCATGTTTGTCCAAACCAGGGGGAGCATTTATATCCCCAGTGTGTTGAAAAAAATGATACGGCTTTACATGAATCAAATTACTAGCACGAGACCAGACGTCCTCTCTGTCATCAATAATACAAACCATATTATCTCCACATGGAAACAAGGCTCTGTAAAATATCATATTAATTCCCATCTAAAAGTTGAAAATAGCTAAACCACATACTTTAAATTTGCTTTTTTGCTTGTTGGATCGAAACATTCATCTCTGGACAATATCCTGTTGGAGAAAATCTTTTGATCAGCATCAAGGTACATAGCTATAGTGTGAGCATAATTCCTGGATCCGAAAGTGCAAATATGCAATTCATAGAAGTCATGAATATTGTTCAAAAATTTGTGAGTTCCAGGTCTTAATCTTGTGTGGTACCAAGGAGAATGCGGACCATTCAGTTGAAAATGATAGACATCTTTTATATTAGGCGGAATATTGTCATTGGTAGTGTGTATAAGCGTCTGATCCAAATCTACTAATAGCACAAGTTTTCTATCTTTTATTAGGCGATCACTGTCTGCCTTTCCTAATTTTTGGGCCAACTGAAAAAATAATTGCATCCATCATTTGATGTACAATAAAAATATCAATTATTAGTGATTAGAACATTTATTGGAGAATATTAGAGTAAATGGTGTTGAGGGTTATATTATGCCGTCCTTCACAATTTTTTTCCCTAGATTCACACATCAGTTTTAAGCTGTAAGTCGCAATTCATGTTTTCCATCTTCATTCAGTGCAGGATAAAAAATAAAATGTATGATAATGTTGATACATGTTTCAATACAACATGCAGACAAACATAACTAGAACTGATTTCTACTACAAGTAATTTCGTTAATCCAACATTAAGTACATTAACTAAAATGCAGTATTATTTCAAATGCCTACCCTAAACTTCTTTAAACATCCCCTTCTATCTTCATTCTAAGGTATAAAAATTGCAAGTCAAAAATAAAAGTTACAAATTTGTGACCCTTGTAAAAATTTGTTGTTCATAAAGGTTTCTTATTGTCTGAACTTCAAAAAAAAATAATAAAATGTGAAGAAAGCTTTCTCATCATACAAGAAACAACAAAAGTTCAAAATCTGTTCACATCTGCTATGATCGAGGCAAGACAATCAATTTGGTCCTAATTAAGTGTTAATTGGTATGATTTTAATAGTGTTTATGAAGCATGTTGAAACTACTTTATAAAGTAGAAATCACTGTAGAAATCACTTCAAGGAACTAGGAATCTGAACTGTATTCAAAATTTATGTATTGTGTTGATCTCTATTTAAAAAAAAATGTAAAAAAAAACAATCAAAGTATAATGATTTGCAATGTAGTTTCAATGTTTTTTGTCAAGGAGATTTTAACCTAAAATTTCTAGTATCAGGATATACAGCCTCAAGTCATGATAGTTGAACAATATACAAAATATTTTCCAATTTGTTCATCAGATGAATTCTTTTTAGATTCTTTTGAAAGAAGACAGTAATTGTTGATATTAATCCAGCTCAATCTACCATTTTTGTATGAAAATTTATATATTTTCTGTAATTACAATAGTTTTCCAATACTGATAAGTTTTGTAGAAATTCAAATTATTGATTGATTGAGGATATCTGATGTTGAGAATGACTATTATTTTTATTAGGATTTTTTTCAATACAAATAATAAGTATTTTGCAGAGAATCAATCAGACTTGTTTGCTTCTCTCATTTCATACCCTTTTTAATTCTCAGTTTTTCTAATCACAAACCTAGTTTTCTTGAAATGCACCTAATATTTTTGATTTTCATTATACATTATTTTATAATTTTTATTAAAATATTTACACTTCATAAAAATTCATGTTCAGGAACAGTTAACCTTCAAACAATTTTATATTTGGTGCATTCATTCCGGGATTCAATATTTACATCTGAATACCTACCTCCTCACTGACTTTTAGATCTGGGATAGCATGAATCATTGGTACAGAAGCACAACTGACTATATCCTCCTTTCGAAGGTCTGCTCCACATTCGGCACACATATCATTCATAATGGTAGGATGAGAACATGTTTGTAGTTCCAATATGATTTCTCTGTTGAGGAACAGATGAGATTTAAAAAACTGAACACTAATACTTAGGTATATCCAATAACTTAATAATTTTCATTGAACTTTTTAAACTTTCAGAATAGATTCATTTCAATATTTTAGATATTTCAGCCATTTTATTATCGAGTTCTTGGAAAATTTGGAACGGGAGCAAAATGCAACTCCCACAGTCATAGAAACATTATTTTAATGAGTGAATAAAATAAAGTTCATGAATCCTTTGTGAAGAGAATTGTGGCAAAACTTGTGAATTTAAATAAAGAATGTTGAATGATTCCACCTTTAATATTTATGATAATATTACTTTGGATATTACAGGCCTTATAAAATAAAGAATGGTGAATGATTGCACCTTCAACATTGATGATAATATTACTTTGGATGTTGCAGGTCTTATTAATTCACTATTAGATAAACTAGTGGTGATTCACTGAAAAATTAAAAAGATCAACTTATAAGTACATGCACAGATCTTGAAATTATAAGAAAAAAATGTTATCTGAAATATTAAATTTGTAAATCTATTGGTTTCCCTCGCAAGAGATGATATACACAGATAAAGGATTGATGGATAATATCACAAACAATAGTTCTAATTCAATTTAAAATGTACAAACAAATGAATGAAAATAACATGACTTCGAATAAATACTACTTTCAAAAACTAAAAACGAATAATTTTGTTTCCCGCAAAATTTTCAAAATACATACCCCTGCTTGACACAACTGCTTTCATGCGCCACAATTTTGTGTACGATTCCAGCTTGCGTTGACTTTAATTTGTGTTGTTCCTGTTCCGGACCATTCACAAAATTGTACAAAAGTAATACACGACCTATAGAAACAGAAGAACCTTTTCGTACTTTCCATTTTAATATTTTAATTGGCTTTATTTGTTGATGTGAAATGTACACTAATTTTTCCGCCATCTTGAACTGACTGATTTTCTTCAAATGTGATTTCATTGGTCGATTGACTTCAAGATTTACTATGGCGGGCTTTTCAAAAAATACTCAAATGCAAAAACACCTACAGGCTTTTGGGGTACACTGTACACTATAGACCAAGTGGTGGGGACGTGCAGGTTCTACCAGGAGGAAGAAACCTCACTACACGTGCTATAAGATATATGAAGAAGCCAATATCAGGCTTTAGAGTCTCATTATAAGGCAAAAATGTTGAATTTATATTTGCTTATTCAGAACATAAGATTAAACAGTTTTATTTTAAATTACTAGGAAAACTTGGTTCTAGAAAATGGTAGATAATAAGTAGATATTTATTTAAATGAATTAAACATGTAGGTATACACATTTCCATGTTTTCCTATCAAGTAGGATATCGTGAGTGTCACTTGCACCTTCACTTATAATATTGGTTTAATACTTTGTTTTCACGAATGAGAAATATAAACTTTTATCAATATAGGATGATATCACTTTGTGGATGTGAATATTCCATGAAAATATAACAAATAACAAATGACTCTTTTTTCTACTATATCATTGGAAAGACAAAGATTATTATTTTTAATAATTGTTTCGATTTTTATTCAAGTTTCTTTACACATAACAGTTTATCAAGAATAGGAGAAATGTCTATAGGTAATGTAAAATTATTCATCCTGAAATTTGTATGCATGTGTTTCAAAAAAACTAAAAATCGATATACAAAAAATTAATTGAAAAAAATGAATGTGCAACATAATTTTTGGAAAGTAAAACAAAAATATCTTTCAAAAATATGTAACTTTTTCTCATTTGTAGAGAAAATCTTTCCAACTTTCAAGAAAAGTATTTTCTTCACACTTGTCGGACCTCCTTTTGGGACGAAATTACCGCACTTGTCAAAATAATAAGAATTACTATTATCTGTCCATAAATAAATATCTTGACTTATTCGTTATCAACTGTTTCAACATTTCTAAAATTAGAAATCAAATAAAAAAAAATCAGAGCGTCAAGATTGGTGGTGAATTTCCTTAATTGATATCACATGAAAATATGCATAACTAGCTCTCCGATATGAAATTATTAGTACAAGTTCCAAAAAGAACTTTAAAAACAGTATATAAATATTACAATTCCTCACAATGCTTCAAGGTTAGAGAAATTTCAATTATTAATTAGATGTTTTTATTTATTTATATATTTCCAATTATTGAACAGAAAGCCTCTATCAGATTTTAATTTATGTTTTAGACAGGCGTGGTTTGTCACAATGAGATACCCGTCCTTTTTTTCCCCACCCTTCCAATTGTATAAATATTAATAGTTTCAATTCAAATATAAGTTTGCATTAGACAGCAATTGATTTCAGTTATATTGCATGTCAATGTTCGCAGTAAAAGTATGTTCAGCTGAATTTTGTGTAACACATTAATTTAAATCATAAGCACATTCCATTAAATTATTTTATTTAAACTACATATAAATCTAATATCTGAAAATATTCTCAGACAGCACGAGGATCATCTTCACCAGATTCATGATACTTGATATACGTTTCGAGATGAGTAAAATCTTTCTTTCCTTCTTGCCAACCTCTAGGTGGAGCTTTATCATAGTTGAAAGCATTTTCTGTTATTCCATAAACCCTATTCACAGCATCAATATCATCTCTGAATTTACCTACTACGCATTTTCTACCACTTATTGGATCTGTAATATCTCCCAAGGGATATATAACTTTTTTCACTTTGTGTGTTATTAACCTCGTCATTTTCTCTGGTAGTTTTTCGATGAGTACAAGGTCACCTGTCTTGCATTTTTTATCTGGATCGTGTGCGTAAACAAATTCGTGTTTGGAAAAATACTAAAAAAAAATTATGAAAGAGTTATCACAAATTGAGAAATTTCACACCATTAGCAAATTTGTGTCTAATTCCAGTCTTTTTACTTTGAACTTCGAAGCACCGTGTTTTAAACAAGGAACGCATTGTCCTAATAACATAAAAGTTTTAGTAATAGGGGTTAAAGCCATTTTTCCTAAAAGTTGTAAAAATCAAAAAAACTTTTATCTTTAATCTATTTCAACCCTAACCACACTTTTCTTCTTCTTTTCTAGATCTTTCCTCTCCCTAGTTGGTCGTTGCCTCCTATTCAGGCGCAGTTGACCAGTCTCCTAATGATACATACCTTGACCTCAGAGTAATAATAAGACATAAAGTTGCCATACCTATATCAATACAATACATGTATTTAGAAACGGGTATCGGACTATCCTTTTCTGTACAACTTATGGGCGAGGAGGTGTGGCGGTTAATGAGAGGTTATGGAGAGTTTGTTTACATTTGAAGTAATTTGGACCTTAACACAGTGACGGTTGGTTTAGTTGAAAATTGGAGGGATAATATATAGTTATAAAATAAATCATTTCAGGTGAAAATGTATTCTGTTCAAATAGTTCCTACAGGAAATCTGATTTATTATTAATGAAAGGGTGTTCATCCGTTGTGTACTATTCGATAGTCGACGTTTCGCCATCATCTCAGATGGCATTATCAAGACGAGTTACTGCTTCGCTTCGAGAGGTGTAACCCCCAGAGCATGTCACCATTTTTTTAATGGATCAATTGTTTTGCATTATCAGATGTTCCCCATGATGAACAGATTTCAATTAAATATAATGGTCCGAAGTTCATTGTTTGGAAGCTAAAAATTATTTGAATGCACTTCTGTACAATCTGTTACCTAGGTTTCATAGGTGTTTTTGTGAAGTACCTATACTTCAAAAAAGTCTTATTTTGCCTAGTTAAGTTTGAATTCGATATTTTCTTCCTTTTCTATTTGTCTCATTCTACAATAACCATTACCTACCAAGTGAAGTTACAATTGGTGTTTCTGTTTTTGTGAATTCTTGAGAAGCAAGAGAACGGATTGAAATAGTGACTTTGTACCAGAATAGAAATGCCCAAATGTTCAATGGCGGGACCTACATAAACATTTTTTATGTGTTATATACCAAAACTTAACTCGCGACAATACCATTTACAAAGTTATATTTCTCCTGCCGGTACAAAATTCTATCACCTGTCTTCAGAGTGGATTCATGCACTAGTTTCAAGTATAGTTACAAAGTCCAATTGAAAATCTCTAAACCCTATTTTATACAGCATGAAAACTGGAGAAGAAAATAACTCCTCAAATAACGTCACAAATATTTAAAAGAATTTTTTTCCAGTATAACCGAAACTAATCGGAATTTCCTAAATTACAAAATATGATTTAAACATTCTTCAAATGGACAACTTTTTCTATTTCGACGACTTTGCATCTCACGGATTTCGATTTATTTATGCTGATCCTCGTTATCTTGGACACATCAGAGTATATTATGTACCACCACATTTTACTCATGACATATATGTGTACTATTATACTGAATTGACAGTACAGATAGGAATTTTATGAGTTGAGATTTTTCTTGATACCTTGACTAATCTTGATATTGAATACTTACTCAATATTCGATTTCTGTTTGGAGCACTGCCACCAAATAGACTTCGAAGCCCCTGATACCTTTACAACATACAAATGAAACGTATTTACAACTTGCCATTCCTAGAACCAATGTCTAAATTATACAAGCCCCAAAATTGATCAATTATTGTGAGATTTTCACTGGACAGTTCACAAGACCGCAAAAATGTTTCGCTATACAATTCATACCAAATAAATTATATAATATATCAATTCGAATCATGTAAACTAATATCTTTGTAACCAATTATGTATGGCCATCAGTGGTGCCATCCGTACGACAACATCAGCGGCCATTATGATCCTTCTAGTTCTAGATCTACCTCCTCTCCACATTCTTCTGGAGAGGGAAGCTAGACGGACTGCATATATACATCGCCAATTGCAGAAATCAATCTAAAGTAGGGTACACTAGACTGCTGGTAGACACTGGAAGTCACAGCAGTCTGGGAATGACCTCTGATATTATGCCTCCAACGAATTATCTTATACAGTACTTTTTCCAAGTAGAGGGGAGTGGATCCTCCGGCAGAAGAAAATATTAAGAGCGGATACTTGTTGGTTCACAGATGGATCAATAACAGCTTCCGGTTCTGATGCGGGTGTTTTCAGTCGCAGACCCAGAACAGATATATCAACCTGCCTAGGAGCCTATGCGACTGTTTTTCAAGCGGAAATTTACGCCATTGAATTGTGTGCGGAGAGATTGGAAGAATCCAATCTCATACATAAGTCAATAAAAATATTCTTGGACAGTCAAGCGGCGTTGACTCCCACCAAGCCACGTCTAAATTGGTAGCAAATTGCCAAAATCGACTCTCCTTGATAGGAAGACTTAACACATCTGGATTCCTGGCAATACTGGCCTGGAAGGTAATGATGCTGCTGACTCGCTTGCAAAGAAGGGTGCTGCAAGCAGCTTCATTGGACCAGAACTTGTCATTGGCATCGTTTCAGGCTTTGCCAAACAAAGATTGAACACTTTGATGACAAGAAGATTTATAGACTTCTGGCAGAATCTTCCAGGATTGGTTCACTCCAAGGCGTTTATTCACCCTTCGAAGCTTGATACCAAACAGTTGTTAGACTACACTAAGGATGAACTACGACGTCTAAGAGGCCTTCTTACAGGTCACCGTCATTTGAATCATCATATGCAGAGACTTGGACTGTCGGAAGACAGTGTGTGCCACCTCTGTTTGGAAAATGATGGAATATCAGAGCACATACTGTGTGTCTGCCCCGTTGAGAACCGAATCAGGTTTTTAGAGTTATACAGATCCGTACTCTTACCATCTGACCTGAAAGACCACTCACCATAAAAACCAGTCGGCTTCGTTAAGAATCTGAGTTTATTTGGTCGAGTGTGAATAGGTGTGATCCACAATAAACCCTTGCGGGTTGCAGTGGAGGATCGAATAGACCCACTCACTTTGGACCTAACCTAACCTAACCCACTTATGTAACATAAGTGGGTTAGGTTAGGGGACGTCTAGAGCTCCAATAAATGGAGGTCTAGACCAGTTCGTCATGGTAGATGACCTACCAGCTAACGTTATCGTACTCTGACACCACTGCATGAAAAACACATCTTTTAGCATCAACAACCTTTTTTTAGACAGATAGATGGTGCTTTATTGGGTTCCGCTTTATCACCTGTCATCTCCAATCAAGTTATGGGCCATATCAAAACCTTGGCCCTGAACATCGTTTCGATAAAACCCAAATTAAAACCCAGATATGTCGAAAGACATCTTCATCATGACATGAAGAACTTGACAGTTTCGTGTCATACCTAAACTCAGTCCAGTTATCTTTATTTAATGTACTAGTAATAAAAAAACCTAAGGGAGGAATTCAGTACACAGTGTATAGGAAACCAATGAAAGATATACAACAAGCTCTTCAGCAGAATGAATATAAAAAGCATACAATCAAAGCATCGAAGAAACAAGGAAAACAAGGAAGTGAAGGATTTTCATTTGTTTAATTTTGTGTCGGCTGTTGACTTACGGTGCCCTTGTTCTGCCTGTATATGATAATTTGTATGCTTGTGCTTGCATATAGATAATGTTACATTTTTTGTAGCAGATTACAGTCGGTTCTGGGCCTCCCCCCACCACTATGACGTATTAATTGCTTTTTTTGTTGTTGTTTAGTAACATCAAGGCGATGTGACCTTGAAGGGTCTGGTGCATGGATCGTTCAGAATTTTTTTCATATGAGATTTTGTGTGTGTGTGTGTGTGTGACATAGTGAGGTAATTACATTTGATTGGTGTGTGTGTGTGTGAGAACGCACGGTACAGGGTTTCATCATGTGCTTGTCTATGTACAAACATACGTCTGCATACTTCGAAAATCCTTCAAGGAATGAATGTTCCATCGGTGTGAGCCCACCAAGTTAGTAGTGATGTGACGTCACAGCACCATCCGTTCAACGGTAAGAGAGCAAGATGTTCACTCCACGACGTGTGGCTGAGAAATGCGTATTCATCGGTCTGCCCTCACCTTTCTCGATGCGATAAAGACTGTGACGTAAGGTGATCTCTAGTCAAATTCAATATGATTGAATAATAATTGTAATTATTTATAGTGAATTTCTTTAGGTCATAGCCCACAAAGTTTTGCTGGTATAAAAACGTGAACTCTAGTCAAATTCAATATGATTGAATAATAATAGTAATTATAGTGAATTTCTATTTGTTTCAATAATATTCATATATTATATGATAATTATTTGGAAATATAAACAATACTAACTTAGTTGAATACACTCACTTTGTAACTACAAGTAAAATGGGAATGTGAGTATTATATCATGGAAACAAGTTGGAGGTTGCTTATTGTTTTTTATATTCGATTTCAGTTCCACCATTTAAAGATGTGGATGCAGTATGCGAGTGAAGATTGGATCGATGTTGTAGATCTCAAATCATCGGTTCAACATTTGTCGTCTAAATTGAAGATGTTGGGTGATGGAGCCGAACATGCAAGCATTTATGATATGAGTGTATGCTATGATGAAAAACAAATCGAATTATGTATTCGTGATGCTGAGAACTATCGGAGAGGTGCAGAAGTTTGTAACAAATTTTTGTATAATGAATTGGAATTATGGCAACTTTGTGAGGTTGTGATTGAACTGAACCTGAGAAGATTCCTGTATAGCCTCCAACCATACTTGCCAGAATGGATTATTCATCACTTTGAATTGAATGATGAAAATCGAGAGGAAATTGAAGATAGTCTGTATGTGTGAATCATAAATAATGTCAAATAAAAAACTTTGTATTATTTTCATGTTTTATTTATAAATCCCATTATATTACAAATGATTACAAAACAATAAATATGATATATGAATTAGGAAAAATTTCAATACATGATATAAGTCAGTTACAAATGAAAAAAAAATCATAAAACAGTACATGATAGAGTGGAAAAATGAAATAGTATCAATAATTCAAAGAGTGTCAATACCTGCTGTGAACTGAACCATCCAATGCATTGTATGTTAAAACTGTATCATGCAAAATTAATGCATATACTTTAGTGTTGTCTGGAAACTTGGTCTTCCTCGTCTCAAACTCAATC